ACTTTGAACTTGATTATTTCCTTCTTTCTACTTACTCTGGCTTTGTTTGTTCTTTTTCTGGTTCTTTTGGTTGTTTAGAGTGTTTATTTGAGGTTTTTCTTGCTTCTTGAGGAAGGCGGTAATGCTCTAAACTTCCCTCTCAGGACTGCCTTCACTGTGTTCCACAGATTTTGGGCTGGCTTTGTTCTCATTTTCAGGTGTTTCAAGGTAACTTTTGATTTCTTCCTTGATCTCATTGTTAACCCACTCATTGTTTAATAACATGCTATCTAGACTCCACAAGTTTGAATGTTGTTTTTAATCCTCATCTGACAACATTTTTTCATTGCTTTTAGAGAAAGAAGAAGGGATAGAGTGAGAAACATCGATGTGAGAGACAAACATCAATTGACTGCCTTGTCATATGTGCCCTGAACCAGGTATCAAACCTGCAACCTGGGTATGTGCCCTTGACTGGGAATCAGACCCACAACCTTTTGGTCTGAGATGCTACTCCAACCAACTAAGCCACACCAAGGGCCGCTTTTGTTTTTCTATTGTAGTTTCATGCTATTGTGATACGAGAAGATACTTGATTTCAATCTTCTTGAATTTGTAAAGACTTATTTTGTGTCCTGACATGTGGTCTATCTTTGAGAATGTTGCATGTACGCTTGAGATATATGCATGTTCTGCTGTTTTGGATGAAATGTTCTGTAAATATCAATTAAATGGCTGTGCTCTAATGTGTTGTTTAAGGTCACTGTTTCCTTGCTGACTTTTTGTCTGGAAGATCTATCCTTTGATGACAGTGGGCTGTTGAAATCCCCTACTATGTATTTCTGTCAATCTCTCCCTTAAAGTCCACCAACATTTTCTTTATGTGTTTAAGTTCTCCCATTCTGGGATGTTTATTAGGGTTATATCCTCTTGCTGGATTGATCCCTTTAATTTTATGTAGTGCTCTTCTTTGTTTCTGTTATGGCCTTTGTTTGAAGTCTATTTTGTAAGGTATAAGTGTTGCTACCCTAGCTTTTATTTTTATTTCCATTAGCATGAACTATTTTTTTTCCATCCCTTCATTTTCAGCCTGTGTGAATCTTTTGTTCTGAAGTAGGTCTCTCGTAGACAGCATATATAATGGTCATATTTTCTTATCCATTCAGCTACCCTATGTCTTTCAGTTGGAGCACTTAATACATTTACATTTAAGATTATTATTGATAGGTACTTATTTATTGTCATTGTTTTTTCTTTCTACCTATGTTCCTCTCTCTATTTCCCCTTCTTAAAGCAATCCCTTTAACCTTTCTTGCAATACTGGTTTTGTGGTAATCAACTCCTTTAGTTTTTTGGGAGTGGGGTGGGGTCTGGGAAGCTCTTTATTTCACCTTCAGTTTTAAAAGGCACCCTTGCTAGATAGAGTAGTCTTGGTTGCAGGTCTTTGCTTTTCATCTTTTTGAATACTTCATGCCAATCCGTTCTGGCCTGAAGTGTTTCTGTTGAGAAATCACTTGACAACTTTATGGGGGCTCCCTTGTAGGTAAATAACTATCTCTCTCACCTTCAAGACTGTCTTTAACCTTTGCATTTTAACTATGATGTGTCTTGGTGTGGCCTCTTTTGGTTCATCTTGATTGGGACTCTCTGTGCTTCCTGAACTTGTGTCACTTTTTTCCTTTGCCAGATTAGGGAAGTTTTCTGCCATTATCTCTTCAAATAGGTTCTCTATCCCTTGCTAACTCTCTTTTCCTTCTGATACCCCCATGATATGGATGCTGTTACACTTGATGTTGTCCCAGAGGTTCTTTAGAGTTTACTTGTTTCTTTTAATTCTCTTTTCTTTTTGATGATCTGCTTGGTTGCTTACTGTTAACTTGTTTTCTAATTCACAGATTTGCTCCTCTGCTTCACCTCACCTGCTGTTGATTCCTTCTAGTGTATTCTTCATTTCAGATATTGTAGTCTTCATTTCTGACTGGTTCTTTCTTACGGTTTCTATGTCCTTTTTAATGCTTACTATCTCTTTAAGTTCTCTCTGAGGTTACCTATTCTTCCCCTAAGGCCCTTGAGCATCCATATAACCATTATTTTAAACTCTGCACCTGGTATTTTTGTTTTTTCTATTTCACCCATTTCATTTAATTTTTTCTGGGGATTTCTTTTGTTCTTTTTTGAGGGGCATTTTTCTTTGACTTTCTATTTTTGTCTCTGTGTATTAGGTAGATCTGCTGTGATCCCTAACTTGTTATGATGGCTTTATGATGAAGGTGTCTTGTTGGGCTCAGTGACACAGTTTTCCAGATCACCTGTACTCCATGCTCCAGGACTGTTTCTTGTGGATTATGTGCACCCTCTTGCTGTAGCTGAGTCTTAAATGCTGTTTGCCCTTTCATATTTGGAGTTGACTCTTCAGGATGGGTAACTGTAAGGGTAAAACCTAGATCACCATATATGAGACACTGAGCATACAGTGTGTGTGTTATTTTCTAAATACACTGTGTGTTATTTTCTATTTTTAATCTATTTCATGTCTATTTGATTATTAGACCACTAGACCATTACAGCCTTGAGGAGAAAATTTGTTTCTCCCACACACTCTCCTTAGTGATAACATTTTAGAACATTTTTGAGTATTTTCTACTATTTGGGGGATATTTTCTATTTTTGTTTGTATCACCTTAGATAGCCCCTGCAGAGATGTGCAAAGAATCAACCTCTTCAAAGGGTAGGTTGCTCTCCACCAAGGCTTTTTCACTGCTGATAAAATCTCTAACCAGTCAGGCCTTCCTCTTTTTTCCTTTTCTTGAAAATACTTCAAAGCTTCAAGCAGTGGGGATGTGGGGTATGATGGGAAAGACTCACTGAGCCAGACTCAAAAGTTTGGGGACATTAGAGTTTAAAATTTTTTTAAAAAGTTTCTAACTAAAACTACTTAACACGAAGGAGAGAGGGGGAGGGAGGGATTCAAGGGGTAGGGAAAAAGGGAGGGACAGAAGAAGAGGATAAAGAGGGTGGAAGGTGTGAATTAAAAAAAAGGGTTCTATGGAAAATAACCTCATAAGGAGATCTGATCATAAATTTCTAACTGGGCAGGTCATGGTGGGTAGTCACACCACAGGTCTAACCAGCTCTGTCCATGGTTCCTGTGCATCCAGGTTAATATGCCATTAAAATGCCCCTTGAATAAGGTATCACCCCTCAAGAAAGCACACAGTATTGTTCACTATCCTGTAATCCAAACTGCCCCTTCTTGCTTTCTCCAATCTTCCTTGCTTCCTCTTCTTAATTTCAAATGCATGAAAGAAACTGTAAAACTCTTATTCTCAGGGGCATTTGAAATCTTGCTCCCTGCCATAAGTCCTCAGTTGGCTCCAATAAAAATCTTACAAAAATTCTCTATAGCTTTGGCTGTTTCTTACATTGACAAAAGTAGGAAGGTAGAGAGGAGATTGAGGAGAGAGGTGATAAGAGAGATCTGATCAGACCACTGAGAAGTAGGGAGGGGACCGTAGGAGGAGTTTGCCAAGGCCACGGTAAACAGCCTAGGACGGGATTGGCTGAGAAGCTGACGCCCCCAGAGTGCATGGAAGTAAAGATGGCTGGCCCTCTGGCTCTCTGGTTCTCTCTTCCTCAAGGATGCCTGGATGATTGTGCCTCAGCTGCCTGCATTTCCCAGTGGATGGTATCCTGGATGGGAAGGTACTCCGGTGCAGCTTAGGATCAGGCTCGCCTGGCAGAAGCTGGCAGGGTTATTTTTCTTTGGATGTTCTAGAGGGGACAACCTCTGAGGCAGAAGCCAATTCTTCCAAAATTGTGTAGCTTTTGTATCTTACGTTATTTTAGTTTGTAAACTAACCCTAAGGAAATATGATAATTAAAACCAACAGGGGGAATCATAGAAGAACTCAGGAGTTTAGCCTTAATTGATAGGCTTAAGTGATTAAAGCTGTAACTAAGGAGCATTTAGCTTTAATTGACAGGCTTAAGTGACTAATGCACGAGGAAAGCTATTATTCAAAATCGTGAGGCTTTGGAATAAAGACTCCTTTCCTGCATCACCAAACCCCTGCCGCTGGAATTTTGCCTAGAGGGTGGCAGCGGGCAGCAGGACCCCAACTGCTCTTCGATAACCCGGGGAGACGGAGCAAGAGAGAGGGGGAAAGAGGAAGAGAAGGCGAGGGAGGGAGAAGAAAGGGGGGAGGGAGGCCGTGCACACTCTGCAGAGGGCCAGCGGCGGTGAGGTTCCCGGATGCTCACAGTCCTGGTGTGCAGCAGCGGAGTCAGGAGTTCAACTCTGTTCCAGCTTCTGTTAACTGTCAACCTACAAATCAAGTCTTGTCGCTTTGAGCTGTGAAGGCCTTATTTATAGTGTTTTATTTATGCTTAAACATTTTTTTAAACCTCACCTGAGTATATGTTTATTGACTTTAGGGATAGAGGAAGTGGGGCGGAGAGAGAAAGAGAGGGAGAGAGAAGAAAGATCAATGTGAGAGAGAAACATCAATCTGTTACCTCCTGTACGCACCCCAACAAGGGATCAAAGCCTCAACTTAGGTATGTGCCCTGATGGGGACTGAACCCACACCATTCTGGTGTGCCGGATGACACGCCAACCAACTGAGCCGCTGGCCAGGGCATGCTTAAAAATTTTTATACGACACGTTGCCTTTTGCTATAGACTGATTTTTGATTGAGGTTCCGTAATTTTTTTGTTATATAACGTATATTTTATACATATGTTTTATATATTTATGATATGCATAAATGGACTTGACATAATCATGAAAGCAATATATTATTCTTAGTAATGTCTCTTTGTGTAAGATTTGTTACCTTTCAATGTGTATTACAAATATGTAATATATTACATATTATGTAATTTATGTAATATATTACATAATATGTAATTTATGTAATATGTTAAATAGTAGTAAAAATAATAATAACGGCTGCAAAGGCAGAAGGGACTACGTTATACAGACATCCTAGCAGATACAATCGTTTGGAAACAATATTACCTGTGTAAAGAAACGTGTTGGAGTGGCCTCCCACCACGACATCCACGCCCTTCACTTTCTGAGCGATGAGTTTATCCATTTCAAAACCTGAGTGTCCCAGTGCAATAATTTTGTTCACATTTAGAGTTGTTAGCTTATCCACTTGATGTTGTAATGCAGTGATTTCATCCTCAAATACTAAATTTTTTCCTAAAAGGAACAAAACAAATAAAGGGGATATTTATTAACAGTAAGTTTTATTATACTGCTTACTGTACACACTAACATGCCACGTAAAAACCACAATCTATTAAAGCTCTTAAATTAATGAGGCTAACACATATTTTTAAATTAAATATAAAATCATTTCAAAGCCAACCCTCCCCCACAAAAGAGGTTATTGATTCTTAGTTACACTCACTTAATGTTGCATTAGTTTAAGGTCATGGATGATGTTATGTTAGTCAAATTCAAGCTCAAGGTGTGAGGAGACTTCAGACCCGCAAGCCTATTTTTTCTACTCTGTTTTAGTATTTAAACTTTACTTATACCAATGCAGAAAATGCCTGCACACATAAGCATAAAGTACAAAACAGATTTACTAATTCTAAGGCTTTGTTTGCAAGTTTAGGATAATCAGTTTTAAAATTCTGTCAGCAACTAGTTCTTGAATGCCAGTCTTAACATGCCAGTTGACAGCTTTGTTCAATTGATGAGGTTGGCATTAGAGTATTAAGCTGTGCATTCGGCAGGGGTCCCTTCTGATACTGCTGCACTGGGACTGTGCACATTCTCCACTGGCTGCTTACTCCCCACACAGAGGTGACAAACCTTTGCTCTTGGTACCTGTGGGCAGTGTGGGTGTGACTGCATAGCCCGGGCGCTCTGTGGGCTGCAAACATGTGCTACTAAGTGTGGCAAGACCATCCGTCTCTCTCTGTAGCTAATTCTCAGCCAGTCTTGAGGTCTAATGGCTTTTATTAGCACAGAGGTGACAGCAGACACAGACAGGCACACTGCCCTGAAGTCATGTCCAGTACTGGGTGACAAGAGTCCTCCAGATGATCTAGACTCCTTTATGCAAAATTTCTAAGAATCATCATTAAAATGAAATTGCCAAACACAAATAATTCTTGTAAGGAACTCTCAAAACCCAGGAGCCTGAGTTCCAGTTCAAAAAAGTATTCATCTCTTCGAAGACCAGCAAGGCTGTGAAACACATTTCGTGTGACAGGAGCAGCTTGAGATTGTCAGTCAGGTCCTTGTGGTGCGACCACATCCTTCTTGGTCAGAAGAGCACTTCTAAAACATTTCAAAAGCCAGTGACTTGTATGTCGCCTTCTGGCTCCAGAGTAACATCAACAGCAGCCACTAACAGTATGTCACTCAGTGTGCAAAGGCTTGGTCACCTGCGGACCAGCTGTGCACCTGCTGCCTAGAGTACCTGGCGATCCCCAGGTCTCCTCAGTGGGGAGCAGCCAAGCCCCTGCTTGCCCTGCCCCGCCTCGGCTGCAGGACCCGCTCGCCTCAGGAACAGCCATGCTGCTCAGGGTCAAGTATAGCCGACCTATTTGTTGTTTGCAATGGCCTGGACTTATTTTAACAGAAACAATAAATAAAATATATTACTTTTCTAATTGTTAAGTAATTGTATCTCTGTGATCAGTTAATTCATTTTTAAAATTTTAGTTTTATTGAATTTATTGGGAGACATTGGTTAATAAAATTATATAGATTTCAGCTGCACAGTTCTATAATATGTCATCTGTATATTGTATCGTTTACCACCCCAACTCAAGTCGCCTTTCACCACCATTTATCCCCACTTTACCCTCTCCAACCTCCCTTGATGAGGTGTTTTTTTCTTAATCCCTTCATGTTTTACACCCAGCCCCCAAACCCCCTCCCTCTGACAGCTGTCAGTCTCTTCTGTACCCATGAGTCTGATTCTATTTTGTTTGTTTATTTTATTAGCTTCCACACATAAGTGAGATCATATGGTATTTGTCTTTCTCTGACTGACTTATTCTATTTAGCATAATATTCTCTAGGTCCATCCATGCTATTGCAAAAGGTAAGGTTTCCTTCTTTATTTTTTTTTAGCAGCTGAGTAGTATTCCACTGAATAAATATACCACAGATTTTTTTTTATCCAATCATCTACTGATGGACACTTGGGCTGCTTCCAAATCTTCACTGCTGTAAGTTATGCTACAATGAACATAGGGGTGCATATATTCTTTTGAATTAGTGTTTCTGGTTTCTTCAGATATATTCCCAGAAGTGGAATTTCTGGGTCATAAGGCAGTTCCATTTTTAATTTTTTGAGGTGTCTTTATACTGCTCTCCACAGTGGCTGCACCAATCAGCATTCCCGCCAGCAGTGCACAGGGCTCCCTTCTCTCCACATCCTCGCCAGTGCTGTTGTGTGTTGATTTATTGATAATGGGCATTCTGACAGATGCGAGTATCAGTTTAATTCTTACTAAAAATCCTTGTTTCTGTTAGCTTTTAGTTTCCCTTTTTTCTTCAAATATAGAAAGAAAATTAACTTGGATAATTTAGAAAAAACAGCATTTTCTGCTCTCACTGACAGTGTTTTGGTGAAAGTGTTCCTTCCTGTAAAAGCAGCTTAAATGTTTCTTGAATGATTTTAGGAATATATGTGAATGTTTGCATATAAATGGATGCATGGATATAGCAGATACATATCATATATATGTGTGTATCTATATCTATATCTATATCTATATCTATATCTATATCTATATCTATATATCTCATTAGATGATTCAAGAAAATATACACGTATTTCCCAGAAAGCCAGATACACAAAGTCATTAAAACTACAAGAGATGAATAATGCAAAGGAAGAAAGGAGAGTTAACTAGACATGTACTAATCATACTGGAAAAGGAAAGATAATATAAACTGAGGTAGAACCCTGGCTCTGGGCACCTGGACTCCACAGGAAGGAGGGCAGTGAGTTCTATGGCTCCTGTTCTCCAATAAATGGCCCTGGACCGTTTAGCCCTGGATTTGAATGGACTTCCCCTCCAATTTTGAATGCACTGAATTAAACAAACATACTGTCAACAAAGAAGTTCACTGAGCAGAAGAGTGAATGTCTTTAAGTCCCTTAGAACAGTGTGGAAACCACCAGACTGGTTTAATCAATGTCATCCTAAGTATACCATTTGCCCAAAGCACAGGTTGTTCCTACTTTTATCTGCAGTCCATAAAAATAAGGCCAAGCTCTAATCTGGTGCCCCTATTTTCAAGCAATGAGTGCTATAAAAGTAGAAAATACCTGGATTTGAGAGAATAGGAGTTTCTTTCGAAGTGTACCCAACAATTCCCACAGTTTCATTACCAACGGAAAGGATTTTATACGGCAAATAAAGACTTGCTATTTGAGATGCCAGTGGCTCCTTTGCTTTAATGTTTGCACTCAGAATTGGAAATTTGGCCTGTTTAAGGAGTGGATCAATCAGACCTTCCGCACCATTATCAAATTCATGATTTCCTAGTGCCTAGGAGAAAAAGAAAAGAGAAAACGAATTAGATACCCTGGAATTTCCAGCAAAAGTATATTTCAGTGGCTCCCAAACCTGGTAGGGCCCCGGGAACTGATCACATGGTCTTTGTCCTCTCACACCCAGAGTTTAGTCAGTGGTCCTGGAGTTGGGCCCAGGGACATCCAAATCATCGGACTGGTTTAACGGCTTCCGCACCGTCTGCTCTACTGAGCAGTATCAACATAACCCGGAAAGCTGGTTAGATGTCCATTGTTCTGCCATTTCAGATCTGGGGCAGGGTCTGCATTCACCAGGTGCTGCCAGGCCTTTTACCTTCTGTGTTCTCTCATAAACCCACATTTCAATCTACCCACCCATCTGCCAGGGAAAATCAATGGGACTTGAGCAAAAGGCAACTGGAAAAGTATTGTTGAGAGAGACCAGGGGCCTCTCTTCCTCATCACATCTCCACATCTCCTTGGTCATGATTCCCTTATGTTTCCACCATTGGTTCTTGCCAAGGACTCTACGGTCCTCTAATGCTTCTGGGGAAATGAAGATCCCCAAAGGCAAGCAGGAGGGAGCATTCTCATTTTACAGGGTAGCCCTGGTTTCTTCCTTCTGTCCCCTCTGGGCCACCCCGTGTTTCATTCCCAGCAGTTTCCTGTCTGATAAAGTACAGCTGAAATGACCACACCATGGCCAGGGATCCGGATGCACCCTGAGCACAGGGCTTTGTGAAGAGCAGGCATGGTTTAACACAAGCCTTGCCTCCCACCTTCTTTGCGCTCTCCCATTCCCTACTGCTCTGGAAGTGGCTACTAGGTGCAAAACAACCATTTTGACATCTGGCAGCTTGCCCTGGACTAATACTGACAAAACACAACATGCCAGCCACCTCCCCTGACAAGCCTGCACCCCTTTCTCCACTAGCCTCCTGGAATTAGTCTCTTTCCTCCAGGCACCTATCTACCTCTCTGGCTGACAAGGCTGTTTTGCTAACTTAGTATTTAAACCAGTGAGACTCAAACTTTCTAAATAACACACCTGATTTCACTCCACTTAACTGGTCATCTGGAAACAGGCCTGGAACTGCTGGCTGGTGACCCCTCAGTCTAAATTAGTACCCCCACCCCTTGTTTTCTTATAGCCCCACCCTCTTTCTTCCTAGCACATTCCATACTCTAAGGGCATGTTCGTGGGAGCCTCACTATACTAAGTCCTGTCCCCTTCACCCTGTTCCTCACTGTAGCTGCTCTACCTGCCACACAGGCACTCCCTGAGCATCTGCTGCTCAAGTGATTGTGCAAAACGTCCTGAAGCGGATACATTTACACAGAGAAAGCAACGTAACATCTTCACCTACCTGCCTCTTCAAACTCAGAATTTCTGAATTTGCCTTCTCCCCCTTCTCTGAGTATCTACTCATTCTTACCTCTTCCTCTTACCTAATTACCTCCCTCTTAAAAGCTAACCTAGTCTTAAAGTTTCTACCAGTCTTATTGGTCTTTTCCTCTTCTTTTCTGAGATGATCGTAACTTCTCCCTATTGCAAAATGTTTCTGTTAAGAGATTTCAATAGCTATCTTGCTTAACTGTAAAGTTTTAAAAAAATGAACATTTCTATAGTGCTTCATGAAAGAGTATCCAACGTGTCAGCCATCTTGCAGTTTATCAACCAGCATTACATGGCTGAAATTTGGCAATAGTTGACATTATGTGTTTCATTTATTCCATCCTGGCCCCAGCTGCCACCATCATCTACCCAGTCAATAAAGCCAGAAACCCTGGAGCAGCCAAATCCTTCTCATTCACCCCCGACCCCCATCCTTCTACCAACTTTCCTCCCCGTTGACTAAATGCTCAGTTCCTGTCTACCTACATGCAGTCCTCACCTTTCTCTCTGGACCACTGCAACAGCTTCCTAACTGGGCACTCAGCTATGGAAATTTGGCCTGTTTAAGGAGTGGATCAATTATTCCCATCTCTAAACCATCCTGTATACTGCTGCCAGAACAACCTTTCTAAAAGGCAAATCTGATCTTATCAACCTTGACCTTAAGGTCCTATAGATGCTCTCCACTCCCTTTGGGATAAAATTCAACATCCCGAGCACTTTGAACCACATGACTCTTTGAGATCTGGTCTCAGCCTCCCCTCCAGCCTCATTTCTGACACTACCCTCAATGAGCAAGGCAACCAGGCAGGGCTGGCTCCACCACTCGTGAGCAATGATCTGGGCGCATTTCTAAACCACAGCTCCCTCTGGAAGGCCAGTGAATGAAAAAAACAAATGGAATAAAAATAAACCAGCATTTACTAAGCACTTACCTCATACCCACATTATGCAATGTGATTTCATACAGAAAATCTGGTTTTGGGCTGTGAGGTTGGTACGATGATTATTCTCATTTTACAGATGAAAAAAACTGAGATCTGGAGACATTGCATGACTTGTGCAGATCACACAATTAGTAAGTGGTGGAGCTGGGACTGGATCCCTTTCTGTTTGACCCCAAACTTTTCAACCTCGATGCTTGGATGTAAAGGGGTTTGTATAAGGCCTAGTGTATAGTGAGCACTCAAAATCAAATCCTACCTACTTGCAGCTTTTCATGCCCTCATCTATTTTTCTCCCTTTTATATGGTAGATGATGAATGACTGACTGATACATAGATAGGTGGGACAGAACATTCCTTTCTCATGCCATGCCTTTACTGCCTTATTCAACTATGGTTTCAGCTCCTGAAGTCTGATGATCCTTCTAGAAGAGAGATTTCCCAAGAACCCTTCACTGTGTTCCCTGAGTTAGATGTCCTTCCTCTGGCCCATGGTCACCTCTGGGCAGCCCTAACTGACCCTGCACCTGCCCACCGGGCCCCCTAATGCACATCACAATCCCAGGAGCAGAGCAGGGAGGTACCATCATCAAGTGAATAAATGAATAGGCAGAAGTATTGATAGGGGAATACGAGAGTTAGACAATTAAATTAAAAAAAAAATAAAGGTGATTGGTTAGTTTATTTTTTTAATTCAGATTATATTTTATTGTTAATGCTATTACAGTCGTCCCAATTTTTCCCCCTTTGCCCCCTCCACCCAGACCCCTTCTGCTCCTCAGGCCACCCCCACACCGTTGTCCATGTTCATGGTTCATGCACATATGTTCTTTGGCTGCTCTGTTCCCTGTGGTGTACTTTGATCCCCCTGACTAATTCTGTAACAACCAATTTGTATTTCTTAATCCCTACACCTTTTTTGTCCATCCTCCCAATCCACTGCCCATCTGGCAACCATCAAAATGTTCTCTGTATCTATGATTCTGTTTCTGTTCTGCTTGTTCATTTATTTTGTTTTTTAGATTCCATTATTGATGGATATGTATTTATTACCACTTTACTGTTCATATTTTTGAACTTCTTCTTTTTAAAGAAGACCCTTTCACATTTCATATAGTATAGGTTTAGTCGTGATGAATTCTTTTAGCTTTTTCTTGTCTGAAGAGCTCTTCACCTGTCCTTTGATTCTAAATGATAGCTTTGCTGGATAGAGTAGCCTTGGCTGTAGGTCCTTGCTTTTCATCACTTTGAATATTTCTTGCCAGCCCATTCTAGCCTACAAACTTTCTTTTGGGAAATCAGCTGACAGTCTTATGGGAACTCCCTTGTAGGTAACTAACTTCTTTTCTCTTCCTGCTTTTAAGAATCTCTCTTTGTCTTTTACCTTTGGCATTTTAAGTATGATGTGTCTTCATATAGGCGTCTTTGAGTTCATATTGTTTGGGACTCCCTGTGCTTCCTGGACTTCTATGTATACTTTCTTTACCAAGATAGAGAAATTTTGTCATTATTTTTTCAAATAGGTTTCCAATTTCTTTCTCTCTCTCTTCTCCTTCCAGCACCCCCACAATACAAATGTTGGTACACTTGAAGTTGTCTCAGAGGTTCCTCACACTATCCTCATTTTGGGGGGTTCTTTTTTCTTCTTGTTCTGGTTGGGTGTTTTTTGCTTTCTTATATTCTAAATCACTGATTTGATTCTTGGTTACATTCCCTCTACTGTTGATTCCCTGTGGGTTGTTCTTCATTTCAGTTAGGGTATCCTTAATTTCTGACTGGTTCTTTTTATAGTTTCCATGCCCTTTTTTATGCTGTTGAGGTCCTCACTAAGTTCCTTGAGCATCCTTAAAACCAGTGTTTTGAACTCTGCATCTGTTAGATTGCTTATCTCCATTTTGTTCAGTTATTTTTCTGGAGTTTGTTCTGTTCTTTCATTTGGGCCATGTTTCTTTGTCTCTTCATTGTGGCAGACTTTCTGTGTTTGTTTCCATGCATTAGGTAGAGCTGTAGAGCTGCTATGGCTCCCTGGCTTGGTAGTGTGCCCTATTGTAGTAAGTGTCCCATAGGGTCCAGTGGCACAGCCTTCCCTATTTACCAAACTGGCACTCAAGTTGCACCCATCATGTGAGCAGTGTACAACCCCTCCTGTAGCCAAGCCTTGATTGCTTTTGGCAGGTCAATGGGAGGGATTTACCCAGTCCAATCAGCTGCAAGTACAGAAGTGACCATTGACCACCAACCTCCAACCACCATGGAGGATCAGCTTGCAGGGGCCCATTCCACAGAGCTTGATTTACTTCAGTAGGGCTCTAGTGCCCACTGAGTCCACCCCCTGAGCATGTCGCTTCTGGAGATGGTTGGGTGGTGGTACTCTGATGTGGTCTGCAGTTGTTCACTGGGTGACAGCATCTGGGGTCTCTGGGAGGTTGAGGCCAAGGTCAGCCACCTCATGTTCTGTCTGGTGCTACCCAAGTAAACTATGAAACAATCTGCAGTTGGTTGCTACCTGTGCTGGGCTTGGAGTTGACCGAGCAAGTCCAAGCTATGAGCCAAGACCAGCTGCTTTGCTGCTAGTGTTGGGCCTGGGGCCACTTAGCAATAGGCAGGGGGCACACTGAGGCCAGATGCTGTCTGTTTGATACAGTTTAGAAAAATTGAGCCAAGCTTCAAATTTGT